TGTTTCATGGCCAGAGATATTAAGGGTTTTAAACACAGGTAAGTCTTCTCTGGGAGAAGACTTTAATACCAAATGTCCAGAGCTTGAAATACATCTTTGATGTCGCTTCCTATCTCACCTCTGATGTTCTATATTGATACTCACAGAATCTTTGTTCTTCTGGGTCCCTGGTAGAGAGACTAGTGCTCACCACCCCAGCTGTGTGCATGATTTGTTGTGGCTTCCTCCACCTAAGCAGACAACAAAGGAGTGATGAGCCAGGTTAAGATACAGTAGGAAAAAAACAGCCCTTTTTGAGAGGGAAACCCTATGCTGAAGGTGACTTTTTTTTAAGCTTCAGGTTTTTTATAGTCAAAATTATTGAAAAACTAGAAAATAATCCAGTGTCCAAAACAAAGATAAATGGACATAGTGGTAAATGAGAAATATACCAGCACTCCAGAGGCTGGGATAGGAAGGTTGTGAATTCTAGACCAGGCTGGGCTACAAAGCAAGACCCTGCCTCTAAAGTTAGAGGTGCAGTGGAGGCCAACATTTTCAGGGCTAGATAAGAGCAGTAAAGTGACTCTTGGTGTTCACCCGGAAGTAAGGCAGATGGCCAAGCCCTGCTGAGTGGCCTACTGCTGAGTGGCAGTAATGGAGCCTGTGCCTTAGGTCCTTGTCACTATAGAGCTTCATAGACTGAGGAAGCAGAACAGCGGCCACTACCTCCTGGAAAAGATGGATTTGGGAGAAACGGGAGGAACTGGAAAACCCCTCTGCTCTCTAGAAACCTTTAAGAGATCCCAGACAGTTATCCATTTTGAAAGCCATTTTTACACATTTTAGAATCAGGCTTTCTGTGAAGTGCCTGACATGGAGTGCTTGAAGAACTTAAACATGACTGTCTCCTACCCTTAAGACCTATCCAGTAAATGCTACCTTGGAGTAGCAACAGAGGCCCTGGAAATGGAGTTCTCTCACTCTTCATTTTTCCCTTTTGCTGAAGATAGATTTTTTTTTTCTCATATAATGTATTGTAATTGTTTTCTCTGCCTCTGCTCCTCCCAGTTTCTCCTCACCTCCCTCTGATCTGGATTTACCTCCTTTCTGTCTCATTAGAAACAGGCTAAGGAATAATAATAAAATAAGGTAAAATAAAAACTAACATTGGAATAGGATTTAAAAAAAAAAAAGCACAAGAAACAGATGCAGAAACCCACTCATTCATACATTCACACTCGGGAATCACAAAAAAACAAAACATGAACAGTGTATACAAAGACCCTGCAGGATAAAAAGAAGACCTAATGACATTATGAAAAGGAACTTCCTAGGGAGATATGTCCTCTCTAGTTCCATACTCCGTTCCTAATCTCTGTGGTTCTACAGATTGTAGCTTTGGTTACCACTGATTGAACAGCTAATGTCCACATATAAGTGAATACATACTGAGGTCTGTGTTACCTCATTCAGGATGATTTTTTTTTTTCTAGTTTCAACCATTTACCTGTGAAGTTCATGATTTTACTCTTTTTATAGCTGTATAATATTCCATTATGGAAAAGTGCCCCATTTTCTTTATTGTCTGCTGACAGCTGGGTTCTTCCCAATTTCTGGCTATTATGAATAAATCTACAATGAACATAGTGTAGACATGTCTCTGTGGTGGGGTAAAATGTCCTTTGGGTATATGCTCAAGAGTGTCACCTCACTTTATGCTCATGGGTCGCAATCCCTGGAGGAGTAGGGAGGTCACTGGCCAAAGATGATTGCATTTGGGCAGTGAGATTGCATCAGAAGCCCTGAGTAGGATGAGGCGTATGAGTATGTTAAAAATAACACTGAGATTTCCTCCTCGGCCAGTTCTTTGTCCCAGTGAGCACCATGGTGTATTAGAAGCTGGTGAGTCACAAATGCGAGATCAGCACACAACATTATACGCCATACATGAGGACCTCGCTGTGCTGGAGATTTTGGTAGGCGTGGGTATTTCGCCCTCTTTCACTTGTTTTTTGGAGACAGTCTTACTATGCAGCTCTGAATGGTCTAGAGCTCTCTGTGTAGACCCCGGCTGGCCCCAGACTCAGAGAGATCCTTCTGCCTCTGCCTCCCGAGTGTTGGGATCAAGGGTATGCACCACCACACCTAGCATCTTTCCCTCTTAAGAGAAGCGCATCCTCTTCTGTAATAAAGTTCCAGCTTGCCTGGGTTTCATCCTATTTAATTTTCTTTCACAGTTTTTCATTGTCATCATGCTGGAATGCCAACCATGTTACTAAGAAAGCTTTTTGTTCTGAAATTGCCTTCATTTGTAGTGCTAAGGGCTAATTTGGACTATAGTTATGACATGCGGCCAAACATTACTCTGTAAAAATCACCCTGAGTATGCCTGTATACTCTGCACCTTTAACTTAATTTCCCATAAGTCTCTTTAAAAAATGTATCAAAATAATGAATTTTAGCATTTTGCAATGTGCAGTATATAATTGTTATCTATAGTCCAGCACCAGCAATGGCACACCAGACCTTCATGCATCTTTTTTGCTGTGGGATCCTTAGTTTTAAGTGAAGGTTCTGTTCGTGTGACTCAGTTAAAGAAGATGAGGTCATGGCAAAATCTTCCTATGGCTAGCACACAGGTCTGTGTTGTTTTGTCAGCACTCCCCATAAATCCCTTTAATCTTTGTGGGTTTTTTAAATTATATTACTAGTTTGATATATGCCTGAAATGCTAGACAGTAAAACTTTCAGAATGGTACCAGAAATGTTAATTTTTGTAAAGTGAAGAGTATTTTAGGACATTGGACAGTGATTATTCCGACGTTTTTAGTAAATCGAGGGGCAGTGGTAGAGCACTTGCCTAGCAAAGCCAGCATCCACAGCTCTAAATGTAAGTTCAAGTACTTACGTGACATATTTTAAAAGAGTAATTCCGACAGATCACTAAAAACCACTGTGAGCATGCTTCATCGTTAAATTAACTTGACTACAAGACGTTTGAGTTCTCACAGCATAAAAGTTAATTACAAAGTATAAACATAGATGTTCGCCATCATTTTTATATCCCACCCAACCCCCAGCAGCAAAAAAAAAAAAAAAAAAAAAAAAAACCTCAGGTTTTGATACTCATATAAAGCTGTTGGGAGGGAGTGTGGGGAGGGAGTTTCCACCTTATCAGTACTGTCCACCTTAGGCGAAGTAGAGCAGGGAGACCCTGCAGAATCCACGGAGTTACTTCAGTTTCATAGGTCCCACACCACCTCCACCAGGGGGCAGAACGCAGAAAAGAAACTCACGGTGAATTCATGATGGTGCACATCCGCCCAGTTCAAGGTGGAGCTGGCAGACGTTTCTTCTGGGCTCTGGGTTCCCAGATAGGGGCCCTGTGAGTGGTGGTGTGTGATGAGGCAGTGTCTCGGCTCAGTTACAAAATGCCAGGGCCTCTGGGAAATGTCAGGTCGGCTGGCTGCTGACTGATAACCTTAAGCTGGTTGCTCCAGCTGCCTCTCACCTCTGAGGGTGGCGGTGAAGTGTTTACTGCGGAGCCTGCCGAGCTACAACACGTGGGGTTTGCGACCTAGGAAACGTTTGTTGGGAATAAGTCAGTGGCCCACCTCTTTAACTGCATGTAAATGGCCTTTCCCACATTGCATGTCTTTTCCGAAGCGAAATATCCATTCAATTGTAGAAATGTGCCTTCATCCACACGATGATGCTCAAGTCACATGATCTGCCGACTATAAGTGCCCTTCTCCAATGGAGACAGACTACAGTAAAACCAAGTAATTATTGAAAGTTTAAAAATCTTGTTTGAAGTTGGATTAAAAAGCACGTCTAAGGAAACTTAATGAAGTCCTTGGCCTCTTTATTTCATCCCCCTTTTTCGTTTTTCACTAACTATTTAACAGTTGTCTTGGCCTTCGAGCAGCAATGCAGCCTGTGCAGTGGAAGGTCCCTAGTGCTCTCCTTGCTGCCTTTTGGCTCCCTGTGAATGACAAGGGCGGATTTGCTGGCCCCGACCTCAGCCTGTGTAGTACTCTGCAGGCAGTCCCCAGGCTGGAGCTTTCCTGGCCCATGAAGCTGGAGCAGAGACCCAGTCTTGCAAAGGCAGTTTCTTCCCTAAACTCGTAGCAGAAGACAGATTTGCAACTTTCATAGTGCGAATAATGCCTTCAAAACCTTACATGGTTTCAAAAACAAGAAACTTGGCATTTGACTGCCAGCACCTGCCGGCAGTCATTTTGATAACTTTCCTGGTTAGATTCAGGTTTGGGTGGATGGGGTGTCCTAGGACGTGATAAAGAGAGTTCAGAGGAGGGCAGCCCTTTACACCGTTTAAACAAAAGTTCTGGCCTTTCCTGCTCCTGTCCAGTAGTTTAAGGTTTTGTTTGTTAGTTTTTGTTTTTTTCATCCTGGGTGGAGGATGCGGGCAGCAGACTTTTGGCTTTCCATCTGCCTTAGAAGAACAACTTTTCTGAAGGCAGGGGTGGGTGTGAAGGAACTGTCATTAAGGGTTATGGGTAGGACCCAGAGACGTTCGTGAAAGGAGGGGGAGTGGTCTGCGGGTGGGGTCTGCCCAGCAGACAAAATATGGGGCTCCCTTCGCCCGAGTACAACTTCACTCTGAGTGAGGAGAAAGACATCCGTAGTGCCTCTCCTACAGATCCACAGAGCAGAGAGAAGCGACCGAGATTAGAGTGGACCGAGATTAGAGGGGAAAGATATGTTCACGAAAAGGCCCTTCGCCCTTGCTCCGGAGGAGCGCAGTCGCCGAGCTGGCGCCCCAGAGAGGGTAAGATCCACACTCCGCACTCCTGCTGCACGCAGGTCGCATGAGTCCTGGTGACTTCAGAGTCAACCCCTCTCTCCCTGTTCCTTCCTCCCTCCACCGGGTGCCACCTCCTTCCTGTCCGTGGGTCAGCGAGCACCGACTTCTCAGTGGCCGGGTCAGTGCCCTGCAGCTGGCCCCTAGGCGGACGGCGGACTCCTGAGGCTTGGCGTCGGGGACTCTGGCAGTCATGGGCAAGGTTTCCTTCGGCGTCCGGGTCAGCTCGGTGCGGAGAGCCCGCTGCTCTTGTCCCGGGCGATGCTACCTCTCCTGCAGGGTACCTCTAGCCGCCGCCCCCCACTCCCCGAGCGGGCTCGGCTGCGTGCGGGTTCCGGGGGAGGCTGCAGGTGGAGCCGTCGGACCCGGCCCCTCGGGATCCTGTGGCTTCCTCTCCGAGCCCAAGTTCCAGGCTCCCCGCAGCTGGAAAGACTGCGTCGGAGCCCCGCCTGCCCGAGACGTAAGCTGCATGCCCACTGCGCGCGCCACTGCTGCGCACGCTGGGACTAGGTCCCATGTCCAGTAGCGTTCCCCACTGGGGGTCAGTCAGTACCCCGGGATGGTCCTATGCGTTGGCACGGCACGACAGAGTGCTGGGAACGCCTGATCCCCTGCTTGCAAACTTTCTCTCTCGGGCGGGTACCGGCGCTAGGCGCACGGAGCAGGCTTTGAGCTGCTCCGGTTGGGACGCTTTTTACCGCTGTGCTGAGAAGAGATAGCCTTGCTGCTGCGCTCTGCAGAGAAAGGGCATTGCACAGGGTCCCCCTGACCCGAGCCTCAGAGAACTCAGTCTAAGCTGCAGCCACCCCGTCGGCTGCGGAGTCATGAGAGTTCTGGAATCTGTTGGGTAACGCTGGGGTCCCAGCTGCGCGGAGGCGGGGCTGGCCCGGATGGTGCCAGCAGGGAGAGAGGGCTGGTTAGGAGGGCTTCCGGAGGAGGTGTGCTGTCGGGTTCTGCCGGAACTCAGACTTCCATGCGGGTGCTCTGGAGGCAGGAGGATGGCAGGGTGAGTGGGCTCTTTGAGCAGCTTCCCAATTGGGGGACCAGTTGGAGCCTCAGTTTCTAGATTCCCAGGAAAGCAGTCCCAGCAACCCGCGCCCACTGAAGTTTCCCAGAACTATGCGCTGCGGAGGCTTACAGTACAAGGCTCGGAGGGGCTCTGCGTCCACATCTGTGCTTTAGAGTCATTTCATTTTTAAAAATTGAAGGAAGGACGCAGAAATCCACAAGAGAACACCAGAGTGCCACCGGAAAGGGAGTCAAGCCAGGAGTCACTGCTGCTTGTTGTTCAAGGACACATTTTGCCTGAGTTTTGAGGTTAGAAGTGATGCAAACATTAATTTGGCAAACCCCCCCCCCCAAACAAACAACAACAAAAAGTAGGCTTTTGGAGTGTGCCTGTCACTCACAACACTATCTACACTGGTTTCCTGGTTACCCACTAGTCTTGTATGAGATTGCACTCAAAATCAGTTTCTAAAACCAGGGTTCTGGGCTGATGGATGTCCGCAGAGGTGCTCAGCGGTTCCTCCTAGGACACCAAGCCTTTTCATTGTGTGAAGTATCTTTAGAGGGCGTGCAGCATGGAGTAACCTAAGCCTCAGGAAGCTGTGACGCCTTTGTAGGGGAGTGGGCCCACTCCAGAAGGTTCCACGTGGGGTAGAGTACAAATGAAAGCCCAAGCTGTCCTTTCCAGTGGGGTAAAGAGACTGAAGAAACGCTTTATTAAATCTCTCAGAGATACGCTCCAGGGCTCTGTACCTGCCTGCCATATTGACAAGACAAAAGGTTGCTATGGGGAGGAAGCGCATAAATTCAGGATTAAACGGGAAGGGCAGGGCAGGGGCAAGAGGTGCACCCACTACATGAGTTAGGCTCGCAGTGGTCTAGGTGACTGTCATCTCGGCTCAGAGTCTGTAAGTCTCTAGGGAAGCCATTCAGGAATAGCCTCGGTTTCCATAGTGGGGTGATGGCTCTTGTGCGCGCATGGCTGTGTGTGTGGCGGAGTCAGTCTCGTTGTGGGCCGGTCTCCCTGCAAAGCTTGCTCTTCCTGGAAGGTTTCAGTGCGGCCACTGGGGATTTTGGGGTGCCACTCTGCGGTATCTGGAACAGAGTATCATAAAAGCTGGTGGAGGTCATCATGTCCCTGCAGAGCTGGCTTGTGTATAGGCTTGAAGGGGAATAAGAGACTCGGGCTTACTTACAGCTGATCAGTCCCTTGTGACCATTTCCAGATAGACATTCTTTAAATAATTGCACGTTTGTGTGCAGAACTAAGCAGGAAGCAGAAACAGTGTTTAAGGCAAAAGGAGATGCAGAGCGAAGGTAAAAAAGTATTTTTTTTTCTTATCTGTTAGATATCCTCAGGCCTAAATGAGGCGTCTGAGCCTTTGACCAAAGCAGCCTTTCACCAAACCAATAAATTCTTTAGAAACCATGAACTTTGGGTGGTGCTCGCTACCTCTGTTGCCTTGCCAGTCTAAGGGCCTCCCCCTCTGCTGTCAGAGAGAGAGGGAGATGGGAAGCTAGTGTCTCCAGAGAGGGAGCAGAGTTACAGTTTCCTCTCTCCAGCCCTCATTATGCAACTTCCACACCGGGAATGATGGCCTATTCTGTTCTCTTTTCCTTACCCCAGTGTCCTTCAACACAATGTCTCTCCCAGTGCCATCCCCGGGGGACTAGGAAGAGCTGTAACACCGACTGTTTGCTGAAAATGTCTAAGACAGGCAAGGATTCCTTACCCTGCCATCTCTGCCTTAATAAGATAATCAACAAGGATGCATTCATGCCCCATTTGTGCCATCCGTTTTGCCCAGCCAAATAGGAAACCATATTGGTTGGCTTAAGGATACTGACCCAAGTTCCAGGTCCCCACTGAGAGGTCAGGTGACTCCAGACTTGCTCTTCTTGTTCATCACAATTTCTCTCCTTCCCTCCCTCCCCCACCTTCTGGTGCAAATGGAGGACTATTGAGTGAAAGGCGCCAGGAAGAAGCATTGCTTAGGAGGGAGACTTGGGTCAGAGCTCCAGCTCTGGTTTTTAAAAGCAGCCAGACCGTGGCCGAGGCTGTTTCCTCCATCAGAAAGGGGGGGGGGAGCTGATGCTGTTTCCCATTTTAAGAACACCATGTGATGAAAGAAATGCTTATTACAAGTAATTATACGTAATAGCTACTGCATTCTGTAAAACCTCATGAAGTATTTAAGAAACACCTTCATTGGGGTCTTGTTCCAAACTTGTCCATATTTAGTATATACAACTAGACTGTGAAATAAGATGGTGACCCTGAAGCCATCACCACAATGAATGGTTCTAACACCACTTTCTGCTCTTTTATTGTTGCTTTTCTATAAGAATATTTAGCATAAAGTTTCTGTTAGGCAAAATTTGAAGTATAATATAGTATTGCTACTCTAAGGACAGGTCTTCAGGCCTTAGTCATCTGGCAGTACTTTAATTTTTTTTAATTTTATTTTTTTCTTATCACTTACATTTTATTAATTCTGTATCCCAGCTGTGTCCTGCTCCCTCAGTCCCTCCCAACCCCGCCTCCCTCCCTCATCTCCACCCGTGGCCCTTTCCAAGTCCACTGATAAGGGGGGACCTCCTCCCCATTCATCTGATCCTGTTTTATCAGGTATCTTCAGGACTGGCTGCAAAGCCCTCCTCTGTGGCCTAACAGGATGGCTCCTCCCTTGGACGGTAGGGAGGCCAAAGAGCCAGTCATTGAGTTCCTGTTAGAAATAGTCCTTTTCCCCTCACTATGGGAAACCAATTGGTTACTGAGCTACCACAGGCTACATCTGGGCAAAGGTTCTAGGTTATATCCATACATGGTCCTTGGTTGCATGTCAGTCTCAGAAAAGACCCTGTACCCAGATATATTTGGTCCTTGTGGAGCTCCTATCCTTTCCCCATCAGACTAACTCCCCTTCTTTCATAAGATTCCCTGTACTCTGCTGAAGGTTTGGTTATGAGTCTTTGTATCTGCTTTGAAAACACTGCTAGTTAGAGTCTTTCAGATGCCCTCAGTAGACTCCTGTCATACGTTCAATGCACATCCCATCTGTCTTTCTAAACGAGGATTGATCATCTTACCCCATGTCCGCTCTCTTGATTATCTTTTTTAGGTGTATAGATTTCATTATGTTTATCAAATCTTAAAGGTCTATATAAGTGAGTATATACTGTGTTTGTCTTTCTCCTTCTGGGATATTTCACTCAGAATGATCTTTTCTAGATCCCACCATTTGCCTGCAAATTTCATGATTTCCTCCTTTTTGATTGCTGAGTAGTATTCCATTGTGTAAAAATACCACAATTTCTGTATCCATGCCTCTGTTGATGGACATCTGGGTTGTTTCCAGGTTCTGGCTATTACAAATAAAGCTGCTATAAATATGGTTGAGCAAGTATCCCTTTTGTGTACTTGAGCAAACTTTGGGTATATACCTAGCGGTGGTATATAATTTAATTTTATGCTTTTTCTGAATACCTTCCCATGTCTCTCTACTCATACCCATCTTGCTCTACTCTTTCCTATGAATTTTCCTCTTGGGGTTCCCATATAAGTGGGATCATTTAAGATTTTGATGTCTGTGTCTGGCTTATTTCATTGAGCAGAACATACCCCAGCACCATTCTTCTTGTTACGTTGAACTAACATTCCGTTGTGTGTATATACACTTTTCATTACCCACTATTTATCCACCCTTAGAAGCTAGTGTTTCCAGAGAGGGAGCAGAGTCACAGTTTCCTCTCTCCAGCCCTCATTATGCAACTTCCACACCGGGAATGATGCCCTATTCTGTCCTCTTTTCCTTACCCCAGTGTCCTTCAACACAATGTCTCTCCCAGTGCCATCCCCGGGGGACTAGGAAGAGCTGTAACACTAACTGTTTGCTGAAAATGTCTAAGACCAAGATGTGTAGGCTCTTCCATGTCCTGGACATGTGAGTAATACTGCAATGAACAACTTTTTTTTCAAGAGCTTGTTTTCAACTCTTTTGGGAGCAGTTATTTTTCATTTACTTGGTATTTAGAGTAAGACCAGTGGGTCATATAGTTTCTCCTTTTAATTTTATAAGCAACGTCCACACTGTTTTTTATAAAGGCTATACCAATTTATAGTCTTTCTTCTTGTATCTTTCTCTATCTAATCCCATTTAATCTTTTGTTTTGGGATAGTGGACTGTCACCAGTGTGAGATACCATCCTTCTGTGGTTTTGATATGCCTCTAACTAGAGAAGTTGAACACCTTTCATGCACCCGATGGTGATAAGTAGGATTTTATTGGGGAAATGTCTGTATGAATCTTCTACTTATTTCTAAAATTGTGTTATTACTTATTCACTAACTCTTGCCTCTGGGTTAAAGGTGTTTCCTGTACAGAACAAAGGCTCATAAGGGATTTGATTTGTGACTATGTTCTCCATCATACAGTTGATCTTCACTTTTCT